CTACAGGGGTCTGATAAAATTGTTTGCTGTTCTAAAAAATTGTTCATGATGTCCATAGAACCTGTCTCATTATACAAATTACGTATGTAGATGTTTAATATAACATGCATTTCTCAGTTTAATAGCACTAAGTGTGTTTGTATTCCATCTTAATAATAATGATGATATTTGTTACAAAATCTGCAGTCATTTTGGCCATGACTGTAAAATCTGGTTGACATATCATCACACATTATTCTTTGCTTTCACACTTAAGTTATTAGAATTATAACTAGTTTAGTATAATATATCTAAGAACTTCAACAGTTGTTTCTGTTTAATTGTTACGTATTCCAATTGTTTGAAAACATACAGTTAGTTACATTCTTTGTTTTCTCAAACAGAGACGACAGAAGAAACGTTTACAAGTGTGGAAGAATGGCTCTGTAACCTCGGTCTATCCGAACATGAACTGAAATTCGTCATCAACGGGTTTGACAACATTAAATTTCTTGTAAGTTAGAGTTGTAAAAAAAAAAGATGAACCTTAGATATTTAATATGAGAGATACACAAATTTAACCTTAGACTTGTAATATCGTTTATAAAGAAGTTGAACCAGAGATTTCAATTATCATTTATGGAAAATATTTATTTTATTTCTTGCCATCTAGCGGGAAAATAATAAAAAAATAAGTGTTTTCACTTGAGCTCTTTTCAAAAAAATGAAGTAAATGTAGGGATGGCTGATATCAATCCTTTAAAAACGATGTAAACAAGATGGCAGGGATGGCATTTGTATCATCCCTACATAGTAGCACAGGCAAGAATTAACAAATAACAATCTTTAATTGAGCTTGCGATGTATACGTCCAAAACTCGGATCTCGGAAACTACCGCACCGATCATCACTAATCATAACTGGGTAATATTTTGATAACTAGGCAGTATTTTTATAGCTGAGCAATAAATAAGACAATAGAAATTTCCACAAAAATGATATGTCTCAGATTTAACCAATAAATATTACAAACAAAAGGAATAAGTTTCAGATTTAACCAATAAATATTACAAACAAAGGAGTAAGTTTCAGAATTAACCAATAAATATTACAAAAAGGAGTAAGTTTCAGAATTAACCAATAAATATTACAAACAAAGG